TGTTTTGTATTAACGTGCTAATAATGATAATGAAAGATTACATGTAACAGTGGAAAATTGATTGGATTTAATCGTCATGCATACATACGTAAATATGTTTGGCCGGATTTAATATAACGTTTTGTATTTTCTATATTTTTGATTGGTCAATGAATACCCATGGTATATTGCTTTTAAACGAAATCACTTTGGTAATATCCTTTAAACGAAAATTTTTCTTTTTTTCCTATTGAATCAAAAATAATAATACGAAATAATAATTATTCGATAATTTTTATTAGATTAATGATACAAAGGGATACATTATTTAATTTAATTTTACAATTTTATTGTCCTTTATATTGTTTTGTTATTTTTAACGAATACATTTGATAACACATATGACCTTAGAAACGAAATGCCCTATGTTTGATTGTACAAATTTTATTTATTTATTTTTCCAGCACAAATTCACTTGAATCATTCTATTATTCATATTTATTCGAAACGAAAATCATATATGGAGCATACACAAATTTTGTTTAAATAATATCGAGCTAAATTCAGTGGATATTTATTTGTTTATTTTTTTTTTTTTTTTTTTTTACAAGAAATGTGTATAACTTACATCCAATTTTAATTTTTTCATTTTCCTACATAAACATCCGATCTCTCTAGAGTATATTTAATTTTCAAGTAGTTAGAAACCAACCACGATTGTCGCAAATATTAAATTCAACGTACGTTTTAATAATCCTTTAATAACACAATGGTACATGTTTTAACGCGCCCATTTCGTAGGACGTAATAAAAAAAAAAAAAAAAAAAAAAAAGAAAAAAGAAAAGAGAAAAGAAAGAAAGAAATCTAATAAGAAAAAAAAGATCAAATATTAAGCTTTACCAGGTCTCTGTTCTAAAAGCCAATCTCCGTTTTTTTTTTCTCTCTCTATCACCCATTGCCCACCTATCCAACCCGTTAACCTAACCTACCCCTCTAACTCCCGTTATCCCACAATACCTTTCTCTTTTAAATCCACCGAGCAGATATGGAAGTCCACATCACAGTCGTTCGCAATCCGTGAAAACTCCAGGTAGCCGATCGTCCGGTCGGCCAAATTACTTGTGTCTTCCGCAGCAAAGGTCGAGGGTGGCCAGTATGCCGAACACAGGGGTCGAAGAGGAGTATTACAGGCTGAGGCATTTCAGTATTACCGGGAAAGGTGTGGTGAATAGAGGCGATTCATTGAAAAGTCGAAGATCACGTTCCAACAATAGCGTCGCATCGAGTAACTCTAGGTGAGTCGTTAACTTCAATCACTTCATCAAGAAGTTTTATATCTAAAACGTTTCCAAAAACCTTTGGACATTTTCCATTTCACGACTCCGTTATATACATATATATATATATATATATATATATATATATATATATGTATGTATCTTTTCTACGTTCCTTCGCATGCTCGTAAACATGTGAACGAGAATAGTCTGACTCGATTCTTCCTTAGACTCTTATCCATTTCCTTTCTTTAGAAATGATCATAACTTTAAAGTTCTTACATAGAGGATACTTAAGAGACGAACGAACGAACAATCGAATGAATGAATGAATCAATGAGTGAGAGAAAGAGAGAGAGAGAAAGAGAGAGAGAGAGAGAGAAGAGAAAGAACGTAACGAATCTACTCGAACCAACGATAGACACTGATTGGTATATGCGATCGATAAGGATAAGAGATCCCTGATTACGTACTTACATATCAGTTCAGAATCGATGAAAAAAAAAAAAGGTGAAACGAGTACAATGGAAGAATTGGAGCTCAGAGATGGAACATATTTTCTGAATGTTACTGGCTGACGTTGCTGACGACGCATACCAACCACGGAGATACCTAAAGTCGATCGTCTCTCTCTGTTCTTGGCTCTTTTCTCTAGATCGAACGCATGAATCTACGTGTGGAGTTGAGGTGACGTAGACACACGCGTTGGACCCTAGAGCATGGCCACAAAACGTCAATGTTGAATTCTTCTATCGTTTCGTCGATGGTCACTCGTCTTTTTTTATCGTTTCATCGATTGGACACATTATCGTTCGACGTATAGATGACCTTTCTTTATTTATTAAGATCTACGAAAGATAGCCATCGAAGAACCTAGAGATTATGCTTCTTCTTATATATTAAAACATCTATAACGTATCATTCATACAGATTAATTTTCTTATAAAATACGAATAAATTCTTATTGTTTTATTTCGTAATTCTTTGGTCCTAAAGAAAAATTTATAATTATTTGTTAAATATAGAAAATTAATGAGTTGTTATGTACAATAAAAGAAAAAATTTGACATTTCGTTTCGACAAAATTTTTTTTTCATAATTTTCGAAATTCCACAAGTATAAATGAATTAAACTAAAAAAAGGAACGAAGAAAAAAAAAGTAAGCTCTCTTTTTATAACAATTCAATTAAAAGTGATAATAAAAATAATATGATATGTGAATAATAATAATGATAAAAAGTTCAAAGAAAAATGTCCACGAAAATGTTCTGATTTTATATGTTCTATCAAAGATCGTTCTGAATATAATTGCATTGGAATTCTACAATTTAAAATAATATTATAGGAGAATTAGTTATATGCAAATAATCTTTGTAATAACATTTACTTGTTAATTTATATACAGTATATTAATATATTTATTGTTTATAAGGATAGATTTTTAAAATGGAAATTTTAATCTCAATTTGTAAATACGTAGAACGAATTGAATTGTATAAAGAAAAATATATATTTTTTTTTTTTTTCCTTTTAATTGTCAGTGAAAATTCACTACGAGGGGGAGGGGGGGAGGGAAGGGCAAAGGGTCATCAAATCTAAAATTAAAATAAAAATTTCCTGAATATTTTTTTTTCTTTTTTTTTTTTTTTTTTTTTATTTTCACGACATATAACTTGTTAAGTAAGGTATAGAAAAAGAAAACAAATCTTTCTAAAAATCTATCGGACTACGGGAGAAAAATTGTAAATAACATTTGCAATTGTAAATAACATATATATATATATATATCGTAGGTATGTCATCGACCAGACTCCATTGACCATTACGGGAAGTTACCCTTTTTGCATTGTTATCGTTGCATTTACTCAATGTGCATATTAATCATTGTAATTTTTATCAATACTCTTATCGAGGAAAAAAAAAAGATTGATGTATAAACATGATCCATGTCATTCTCGTATCATGGCATAAATATATGTATGTTATCAATAACAATACATGTTTTATTTTTCGTTCGTACTCTGATAGATTTTCAAATATAATGCAATTTTTACATCAAAAAGTTTTTTTCTTTATTTTTTATTCTCCTATCCTTCATGGTAGGCTAGTTACGAATGAAAAAGAAAAAAAAAAAAAGAAAAAAACAAATAACGAACTTGTATATAATATAATGTGTATATAATATAACGAATGGTGTATATTTTCGTCGAAAAGAGGAAAGAAAAAAAAAAGAAAATAAATAAATAAAGAAAGAAAAAAAAAAGAAATAAATAAATAAAAATAGAAAAAAAAAGCAATTATCCCTGATCCAACTGAGTGTAACCTATTGTATACCTACTCATAAAGTTTAATTAAAATAAGAATTTTCATATAAAGACCATTTACTTTGTTAATTAAATAATTTTTATTTTCGCTAACAATGTAAATAAACGAATGAAATTGTTTTTTTTTTTTTTTTTATCATTCTATTTTAACAATAATTAATGAATCACCGTTTATACGATTTTTAATTATATGATTACGTTCTATTCTATAAGATTGTATAAATTTGCAAATAAAACAAGTATTGATTGTAGAGGAATTTTTTCATTAAAAACTTTCAGAGTGATTTTTGCGCGCATGTGCGCGGGAATTAGATACAAACAATAGCGAAGCCACTGTTTAGAAATGTTGTTTTCTTCGGATATACGAGCTTGTTTACGATTTAGTCGTTCAACAATTAACAAATATTCCTCTACCATCCTCTACGTTGTTAAAACTTAAATATCTTACTGCAAAATTTGACAAGTGAGATAATCGAAATTTACATTATTATATGATCATTCGATTTATATATTTATAAAATTTTTTTTAATTGTTCTTTTCTTTTTTTTTTTTACCTCTTTCATATATATTTTCTATTCTATGTATCATCGATCTTGTATATATATATTGACCTGTAGTTTATCTCAAACGAACTCAGGCACGGATTATTGTTAAAATCAACATCGTCGTAATCGTGACGTTTTAACCAACAACGATTAATCGAATTATACAAGGTCACGAGTAAAGTCAAAATAACGTGGGACGTATATCGATACTATTCACGTTTAAAGTGAAATCAACAAATTTGATACGTCCCGAAACGTCGTTGTTTCAACAAATAAATATAACTATCTACATACTTTTATACGTTATATATCGACATACATTTATCTATCTATATATATATATATATATATATATATATATATATATATATATATAGAGAGATTTAAACATAAATGACGTATATGTAAATAAATTTCAAATAAGCTCATAGAAGACATAATCAATCAATTTGTATAAAAAAGGTATACTTATGTACATACATACGTTTATATAGACATGTATAAATACTCGAACAAATGTTTGCTCGTATTAAATACACGAATCGGAAAATGAGACAAAAGTGAAAGAAAAAAAAAAGAGTGAGAGAACTAAAGGGATGGAGGATAAGAAAGAAAGACAGAGAGAGAGAGAGAGAGAGAGAGAGAGAGAGAGAGAGAAAGAATGATAGAGAGAGTGAGAGAGAGAGAGAGAGTGAGAGAGAGAGAGAGAGAGTGAGAGAGAGACAGAGAGAAAATTGCAACGTGAATAGATCGTTTGCGTGTGATGTACCATGCATGTAACATACGCACACACGCTTAAGCGTGTAGGGGTAATAGAAAGCGTACGACAAGTTGCATGATACATGTAGCTTTCGAACGATTAATTGGATTAGTTTTCTAGGAGCACGCTAATACGATTATTCGCGCGGAAAAGGAAATATTGTTCTATCTCTTCGACGATATTAATTACGTACCATTCGCTTTACCGTTGAATGTTCGATACGAGCAATTGGAACAAGACTCATGTATTATCGTACACCATTATACGAAAAAAAAAAAAAAAAAAAAAAAACCCAATACGCGCGGATGCATTAACACATGCACTAATTCATGCACGTTATTCAAGCACGAACATACGCACGTACACGCACGTACAAACATTCAACCTCAAGTTATTATCTTATCTTTATTTTCTTTATACGAAGGAAATACGATCTCCATTATTTCTTATTTAGAAGTCATTTAAATGACGAAATATCGACGTGTTTTCTTTCTTCTTTTTTTTTTCTCTCTTTTTTTTTCTTTTTCTCTCTTTCTTCGCTTTGGTTTTGCCCGTAAACCTTTTTTTTTTAACGATGATTTTAATTTTTTTCTCTATTCTCTTCGACTTTCTTTCAAATCCTAATCTCGTCGACAATACGTCGTGTATGTCAGTCAAATACCGTATTCAATTTACTAATTAGTCTCGAGGAAACCACAAGGGAATACACACGTCATACGCACGTACACACATATACATAAGAGCGCGCGCGCGCGCAATTTCCTCGCTATCGATTAATATTTTTTCTCATTTTTTAATCTCTTGTTCTGGTTTGTTGTCTCTTTTTTATTCTACTTTTTTTCTTCTTCTTCTTCTTCTTCTTCTTCTTCTTCTTCTTCTTCTTCTTCTTCTTCTTCTGTTTTTTTTTTCGTCTTCTTTTTGTACTTTTTCTCCATTTCTCTCTCTTTTTATCTGTATTTTCTTAAACTAATTAATTATCCCATAACAGTTCTTGCTTTTTCTGCATAACACGTAGAGATTCTCGCGCCTTCTGTTTCAGGGAGATTTTACGAGAATCCAAAGCGGTTGCTTATAGGTACGCTCGATCCCTCATTTTTCAGTAATAACTATTATTTTTTATTATTATTATTATTATTATTATTATTATTATTATTATTATTATTATTATTATTATTGTTATCATTATTAAATCCATATTAATTATTATCTACGAGATATGAATACGTCTGTTATTTTTTGTATCTTTTTTTTTTGTTGTTTTCTTCTTTTTCCTTTTTCTTTTTCATTTATTTCTTCACGACCTCTGGACGAAATATTTTTTATCTACTTACGATAATATACTTACACACTAATATATAATAATATTTTAACACGCCCGATATCTGTATACGCGTATAATGTAATCGTGGGCGGGATCAGTGTGCACAAACTCTGAACTTTGACAAAAAAGAAAGAAAGAAGAAAAAGAAAGAAAACCAAGTAATAAATAAATAAATAAAAAAAAAAAAAAAAAAAAAAAAAAGAACGATTTAAAAAATGGTCCAGATATCTCGTTAGGTCATATTAAAAAGGAGGAAGAGGATAAATGTTGTCTCTCTTCCTTCTAAATAGCTCGAATCTTATTCAGTAACATTCTCATCATTTCTTTTCTTTTTTTTTTTTGTTCTATCTTCTTCAAAACAGTACAGAACATCTGACGGCATCGTATCCTGGCTCAGCACGAAACTCGGCTGCGGGTTCACTCGCGAGTTCACGCGAGAGTAGCGCATCTCAAGATCCAGCACCTTATCGAGTTCTGATGCTTGGTGCACCCGCGGTAGGAAAGAGCTCTCTCGTATCCCAATTTATGACGTCGGAATATTTACACGCTTACGACACATCCATCGGTGAGTACACCATATTTCTCATCGATCTTCACTCGTAATTTTCTTAAAGAAATTGTCGAAAAAAGAAAAAACTACGTACGATTGAAATAATAATAAAATTTAGATCGATTTCTTTTCTATATATATATATATTTTTTTTTTCTTACCCAAAAATATTACGAATGAATATAATGATTGTTATAAATGATATCCAATGATTACATGTAATATCATTATTGGAGATATTATTTAGAGATAAAACAGATTACGTAAAAAAAAAAAAGAAAAAAAAGAAATAGAAAATCGCGAATGAAATAAGATTTTAACAACAATTAAAATTTATGACAAAAAATATATTGATTTTTATTCGATTATTTTATTCTTTGTAAATTACGTTAAAAAAGACAAAACAAGAGAAAAAGGGAAAAAGAAAGGAGAAAGGTTCTTATATCTTTGAATAATTTCGAGGTATTTACTTAGGAGGTACTTCCTTACTATAGGTATCACGTTTCACAACAAAACAAAATCATAACTTAGCACGTATTTGATACATCCCAGGAGTGCCTACGTGGTCTTAACTCGCTACGTGTCCTTGTACCTTCGTCCTTGCGTGACAATATCGTATATAATGTTAACATTTTCTCTTTCATTTCCAGATGACGAGTCCGGTGAGAAAACAGTGAGCGTGCTATTAGCCGGCGAGGAGTCCGAGTTGACGTTCATCGACCATTCGTGCGCGGAAATGACGGTAAGTTTTCTATTAAGAAAAATATAAAAAGAAAAAATAAAATATGTTCAAAAGAAAAATTTATGATATGAAACAGATAATTCTTTTTATATATAATTAATAAAATATTTATATATATATATATATAATTAAATTATTCGATTGAAAAATTAATCGTCCAACGATGAATTGAAAAAAAGAAAATTGCGATTAATATATTAATAATAATACTGAAAATAATAATAGAAATAAAGTGAAGAATATATATATATATATATATATATATATATATATATATATATATTACCTTCGTTGACGAAAAAAAAATTAATATCACGTGCTTTACGGGATTTATATTATTCTAAATAATTTTTAATCGTTCACATAAAAATTTCATGAAATTTTAACACTTATCCAAGCAACTTTTGCATTGTTAAGAACACAGGTAACAATTGTAAATATATATCACAAGTATGAATGAAAGATAGAAAGGATTTCATCGTGTTTCATAATTAAAGAGAGATAATATCATTATCATAGAAATCATATGGAACCTTTCACGTTTTAAAACTTAAAATCCTCAGAAAATACATTGTGATTTTACGAAATTTATCATATCGATATTATTCAAGATAATTAATTATTCTATAATTCAAATTAAAATTCTATTAAATTTTAACGTGTTAACATAACAATAATCATTTCTTTTACTTCAGAACATTCAGATACCTAAGTACATACATCGTACCTATTAACATACGATGAAAGAAGATTTATCATCGTGGATGTATAAAAAAAAAATATATATATATATATATAAAATGCGTAGAAATCAAAACTTTGTTATGTTCTGAATTTCGAAAATCGTCAAAACTAGGTAATAACCATCGTATACCCATTATTCGAGTTAATTTAATTGTTCTACAGTTTCACAATACAATATTCCATTAAATTTCAATGTGTCTCTAATCGTCTTTTTCACTTAATTCATTGTCATGGATAATAATAAAATATAGAATGTCATTGTTAAAAAAAAGGCTTAACGTTTCAACGTTAAATCTCCTGGTCCTCTGACAAAAAAAAAAAAAAAAAAAAAAAGAAGTGAAAAAATCGTATAAGTCAAAGCTTGTACGTTCTGAAATTCGAAAATCATCAAAATAGGATAATAATCGTCGTATACCCATTATTCGAGTTAATTTAATTATTCTATAATTTCACAATGCGACTTCATTAAATTTCAATGCGCCCCTAATCATTCTCTTTTTTTAATTAATCTTTTTCACTTAATTCATCGTCATGCATAATAACAAAATGTAGAATGTCGTTGTTAAGAAAAATTTAACGTTTCAATATTAAATTTCTTGGTCCTATGACCAAAAGAAAAAGAAGTGAAGAAATGAAAAAAAAAAAAAAAAAAGAAAAAAAGATAAAGACCGCGAAAAAAGTAAAACAAAACAAAAAGAGAGAAGAAAAAAGAAGAAGAAGAAGGAAGGAAGGAAGGAAGGAAGGAAGGAAGGAAGGAAGAGAAAAAAAAGGAAGAAAAAAAAAAAGATACGTCTTGTAGCCGCGCTTTGATCTTCATCCCTCTTCCTTTGTACCTATACGATAAAAATGACGAAAGGACAAAAAAAAAATCTCATAGTTAGGTATAATGGCCGTGACAGAGATGAGGCAAAGCGTTAATCGTATTTGTTCAGGGTCATATGATAGGCAGTCGAAGCGTGCCTTTGTAGAACGATGAAGAAAGATAGATAGATAGATAGATAGATAGATAGAAAGAGAGAGAGAGAGAGAGAGAGAGAGAGAGGCGGAGAGAGGAAGAAAGAGAGAGAGAGAGAGAGAGAGAGAGAGACAGAAAGAGAAAGAGAGAGTAAGAGTAAGGGTGAGAGAAGATGGGGTAGAGGGTGGGTTCGAGGGTGATAAAGAGAAATTAAATTAAAATCCATCCTCGACGGTTCGAGGTTGTCGAACGAACACGAGCGTACTAGCGCATAGTCCAACGAGAGAACGACGTGAAACTGGGACTATACGTTCTCGATACTGAAAAGAGTGACTGGTTTGAGAACGTAGAAGACGTAGTGTTGGTAGGTTGGAAATATTGGAGAAGAGGAACGGGATGAAGGGAGGGGAGGGAGGGAGAGGAGGAAAAGGGGTATTGGTCGAGTATTCGTAGAAGAGAACGTAGAGAAGGCATAGAAGGTGCAGGTCGTTGTCACGCTTCGCTAGACGATTTCAATCGAATTCGTTCTTTAATTAAAAGCCTTCGCATATGGAGTATAGTATTACGTGAGTCTACGTTGCTACGTGTTCTCTTTTTTCTAGTTTCTAGTATATATATATATATATGTATATGTATATATGTATGTATGTATGCATATATGCACGTATGTATGTAATAGAAAGAGAGGGGGAGAGAGAGAGTGAGAGAGAGAGACAGTAGTCGATAGTCGAGTCTAGGGCAAATAACAAACACTTCGAAACGGCTGATTAAAAGCCGTTCACAGCAATAGCGCGATTCTCACTTGATAAAAATCCGCGATTGGTGAGTGAGATGGGCACTCACGTTTGCTTATTCAATTGGTTCTTAACTCAGGAATTGAGATTACGATATCGAACGACGACAAAATTGGGGTTTTGTTATCTTTTTATTTGTACTGTCTAATGACCAAGAATGAGGAAGGGTTTATATGATTTTGATGTTTCTTTCTTTTCTTTTTTTTTTTTCTTTTTTTTTTTACAAATATTAACTCCATTGTATGTGTATGCCATTGAAGATTGATCTTCATTGATAGGCCAGCACTCTATTTTGTAGACTTTATTTTCCAAAAAATACTTAAGATTATTTATTCGACCTTTAAAATAATTAAATATATGTTTCATGATAAAATATATATAAATATATATATATATATATATATATATATATATATATATATATATGTATATATATATTCATCTTTAGATAAATACATTAACTATTGCAAGATTAACTCAGCTGTCAACATGTTAAATTAACAAAAGTGAAAAGTAATTATAAGTAATATTAAAGTATAAATAAGTAACAGAAATATGATTTCAAGGAATAGGTCATAGTAATTAAAGAGTTATGGATTGAAATAAGTAATGTTAATTTGTTACTAAGTTAAATGTACAAGTGGTAGAGGAATGAGTGATAAGTGAAACGACAAAAAAAGAAAAAAGAAAAAGAAAACAAAACGTCGCATGAGAAAGACCCCTAACGAGATTAATCGTTTCACGAATGAAACTAATTATTCGATTTTAATCACGAGTATAACCAAAAGCTTATTATCTCGTTGACTCCTCGTTAAAAATTCACATTTAGCCATTATATCCGAATAAATCCCTTTCGAAAGAACTTTCCGAGCGAGAACGAATTTCGCGTGTTTTCCAATCCGATAAATCGCGGTTTAGTTAGCCTACTTCCTGATCGACTTAAAGAACAAAAAAAAAAGTGGCCGGAAATTTTGTGGCAAAGTTTAATCGATGCAAACCTGAATCCAATTCCTTCACGTACATATATACATATATATACATATATACACACACACATATATATATATATATATATATATATAGAGTGACTCATGTAGAACGTTTCACCTGAATAGATTGCACAATTCGTAATACAATATAAAATATTTTTTAATTAAATGTGAAAATTACTCTTTTGCTGATTAAAAAATAAAAAAAAAAAAAAAAAAAGAAAAAAGAGAGAGAGAAAAAATAAAGAAAATGTTCGAAAGAAATAAGGTCACAGGTGAACAAACCTATTATTATTAAATATTTGTCACGTTTGTTTCAACTTGTTAATCTTACAAATTTTCCTTACGGTTTTTTGTTTCCCTTTACTTTTTGTTTATCTACTCTGTCGAGAAAAAAAGAAAAAGAAAAAAAAAAAAGAATTGAACGCGATCGTTCGTTCAAAGAAATGACAAAAGTTTTCAATCAATCAATTCCAAATAATTCTTACGTCAGTGAAAAACGATAGTATAATGATAAATATAAAATCTCTTTTTCTTTCAATCTCATTTAATTTTTCATTTAATTCATTATTACGTCATATAGAGTTTATTTTATTATTCAAAATTAATTGTTAATTTTTTAACATATACATTATCGTCAAGTAATATATTAATTCTAACATAATTTACGTTATAAACTGCGTGTATAAATTAAATATTATATTTTGATATATAATATTTCGACAAATGCGTGATAAGATTGGAATTGTAAAATTTGTGGTTTCATATTATTCGTCTAGAATCCTATAACGGAATAGGTAAAACTCATTTTCCATGAAAACAATGCAATATAAAAATTCATGACGTTAAAGTACAATAACATGAGTTACTAATGTCGATATGCATATACGATTTCTTGTTTGGATGATAACCTTAACTTTTTCCCCTTTCAAATTCTTCGAATAATTTTTCGATATAATATTCCATATTTTTATCTATTCAAGTGTTCATCGTTTCAGGACGTTCGAATTCAGGATATATTGCATAAATGTTAAAAGTTTTTGTTCTATCAATACTCCAAAGCCACTATTCTATTCGGTTAACAAACTTCATTTTTTTTTCCTACTTTATTTCAGTTTTCTCTCTTTTTTTTTATTTTTTTTATTTTTTTTTTTAACAAGAACAAACCACAATGATTTGGTTTCCTGTAAAATATTTAGAATCGATGCTACGGGTGAAAAGTTTCACAAAATGAATTTTCTCTCTTTCTCTCTCTCTCTCTCTTTCACTCTCTGTCCCTCTCTTTCTCTCTCTCTCTCTCTTTCACTCTCTGTCCCTCTCTTTCTCTCTCTCTCTCTCTTTCACTCTCTGTCCCTCTCTTTCTCTCTCTCTTTCACTCTTTGTCCCTCTCTTTCTCTTTTTCTCTCTATAATCCTGTTCAGTTTCTCGTAAAATAAGAAAAACAAAAATGTGACGGAATGACGAGAACAATTAAGAAGTTCCTTTTATTTATTTCTCTCTCTCTCTCTCTCTCTCTCT